GAAGGGTCTGGAGCACAAGTCTTATGAGGAGCGGCTGAGGGAGCTGGGGTTGTTTAGCCTGGAGAAGAGGAGGCTGAGGGGAGACCTTATTGCTCTCTGCAACTGCCTGAAAGGAGGTTGTAGTGAGGTGGAGGTCAATCTCTTCTCCCAGGTAACAAGCAGTAGGACGAGAGGAAAGGGCCTCAAGCTGCGCCAGGGGAAGTTTAGGTTGGGTATTAGGAAAAACTTCTTCACCGAAAGGGTAGTCAGGCACTGGAACAGGCTGCCCAGGGAAGTGGTTGAGTCTCCATCCCTGGAGGTGTTTAAAAGACGGGTAGACGTGGTGCTTGAGGACATGGTTTAGTGGTGAACTTGGCAGTGCTAGGTTAACGGTTGGACTCGATGATCTTAAGGGTCTTTTCCAACCTTAATGATTCTATGATTCTATGCAGACAATAAAATATGGGCTCTAGCCTTTAATATAAGGAGCGCTGATAATGTGATCAGAGTGTATCTGGGATTCAGCTGTCATTTTCTGGGTGTCTATAATGAACGCTGCTTTCAAATACGGAAGCGTGTTTCCCCCGCCTTGTGTTTTGAATGTCTGTGTAGTCAAGTTTGACTTCATATTGGGTAGGTCTTCCCACACCGTACAGAGGGACTGAACAGCTTAGGAGACAGACTTACTGTTTTTAAATTTGGGGAAATATTTCTTGCGATGAACTTTGAATTTTAACTACTATGAGCAAACCTAAAGAGTGGGACAAGGTGACTGTATTTGAGCAGGATGGGAACATTCCCTGCCTGGAGGAGCAGCAGGCCTGGACAGCTGAATGGTTCTTTTCTACTGATGTTCACTGGAGCATCTTTCACCTTTTCCAAGGGAATATGCTAAATATTGATGTTTAGAGACTTTATGCACATGTTCAGGACAATTACAGAAAATCTGGACTTTTAAAAACTTTGTTTTTAAATAAAAACAATATTCTTCCAGAGAGAATTGTTGGAACTAATGCTAGCATGAAAACCTTTGACTGCTAACAGCATGTGTGTTGAATACTTACTGAGAACTCATCTAGCTTTAGAGCAGTGTGAAATACTGGTTTTAAGAGTAGTTAAATGGATGATGACAACAACAAAATCAACTGTATGTCTCATCTTGCAAACAAGCTGAAGCAAAGACTCAGCATATTTGTGTTAGGAGATGCAATCTTTATGCAAGGAGAGGAAATGTATGGAGAAATTGAGACATTTCATCTCCTTGCACGTGTTGTACAGTGGGTTTAGACAAGATGTCAGGGACTGATGAAAACTTAGTGTCCCATCTTCTGGTTGACTTCGGTGTGGGTTATACAATTGGCTATTGGCCATACAACCTGCTGCTGAAGAGGGTCAGTCCTTCAAGTGGGAGTTGCTCTGTAGAAAATAATAGGGTTTCATCCCTTCTGACACCCTTAGGATATCATTCGCTTTTTTGTCTAATTTATTCTCTCTCACATAGGAAGCAATCTAGTATAGATATTTTTGAGTGGTTCTGAGAGTGGTGATATGGTAGCAGTAAGGAAGCCTGGCTGGTTAGAGTATATGCTTCTTCCCATCAGTTTATGTTTAACTTGAAAATTATTTTAGATTTTAAAAAAACATATGAGAGTGCCTTTATTTGTATCTGAAATATGCAGCTTAAGGAGATACTAAGAATAAGACTGGAAGAGTTGCATTTTTCTTTTTTTTTTTTTTTTTCCCCTCCTTTTCCAGATGCAAAACCAAAACCCACACGACTTCTTTGGCATGTGTGTTGAATACTTACTGAGAACTCATCTAGCTTTAGAGCAGTGTGAAATACTGGTTTTAAGAGTAGTTAAATGGATGATGACAACAACAAAATCAACTGTATGTCTCATCTTGCAAACAAGCTGAAGCAAAGACTCAGCATATTTGTGTTAGGAGATGCAATCTTTATGCAAGGAGAGGAAATGTATGGAGAAATTGAGACATTTCATCTCCTTGCACGTGTTGTACAGTGGGTTTAGACAAGATGTCAGGGACTGATGAAAACTTAGTGTCCCATCTTCTGGTTGACTTCGGTGTGGGTTATACAATTGGCTATTGGCCATACAACCTGCTGCTGAAGAGGGTCAGTCCTTCAAGTGGGAGTTGCTCTGTAGAAAATAATAGGGTTTCATCCCTTCTGACACCCTTAGGATATCATTCGCTTTTTTGTCTAATTTATTCTCTCTCACATAGGAAGCAATCTAGTATAGATATTTTTGAGTGGTTCTGAGAGTGGTGATATGGTAGCAGTAAGGAAGCCTGGCTGGTTAGAGTATATGCTTCTTCCCATCAGTTTATGTTTAACTTGAAAATTATTTTAGATTTTAAAAAAACATATGAGAGTGCCTTTATTTGTATCTGAAATATGCAGCTTAAGGAGATACTAAGAATAAGACTGGAAAGAGTCGTTTTTCTTTTTTTTTTTTTTTTTCCCCTGCTTATGCAGATGCAAAAGCAGAAGCCAGACGACTTCTTTGTGCTGATTGTACCAGTTCTAAGCTGGTGCCACACAGCCAATTTCAGATATTTATACTCCAGATATTTTCTTACTGCAATTTGAGATGACAGTTTCTGCTGAAACTTTTGAAATATACCCTGTGTATATTCATAGTGTCTTTCTTCGTATCCCGTTCTCCCTTATTTATGTGAATAAATGTGTGTATATTCCTCTGACAAACCTGATCAAAACTGATTAGGTTCACCAAGACTGTGTGAAAGTAAGCTTTTCTTCTAAATACTGCTTCTCCTGCTGAGTCATGTTTTTTTTGCCAAAGTCACTGAGCTTGCTGTTATTTAAGCACCATTTTACGCTAGACAAAATAAGCTCTTCTGAACAGAATTGTGAAATTTTCCTTCACTGCTTAGCAAACGTGGTGCATTTGAGCATGAAAGGTTAAGGAAGTATGAGTTATAGAAAGTATTTCTGTACTGACAGTGGTAAAGAAGCACTCTTGCCCTGGTTACAAATCAACATAAAGTGTGTTATGGTCCTTAGAAAGCAAGATGAGTGACAATTGTGTAAAAACAGCCTGTTACTGCACTGTAACTGGCTTCTGTTTGTGCTATCAGAGCTTAATATGGTACTTAGATCTTTTAACGAATATTTTAAGCCTATGATCTCTGCTGGTGTAGGGTAGAGGGAGAGAATCCTGTTGCTACTCCATTCAGTTTTTGTCTAAGTGCTGAAATAGTGCTTTTAAGATTTGACATGGCATATATAAGTGGATAGTAAACTGTTCTAACAGACAAGTATGTTGACTGAAAATCAAACTCCTAAAGAAGGTGCTAATTACCACTAATACTTGAAAAAATTTTGCTGAATGACCATCTTACATGTATGTACCATATTCTGCGTATACTGTGGTAGCATAATCAGGCCTGACAGTTGCAGGGTTGAAGTTGTAAAGAAGGAAGAGAAAGGTGTTGATTGCTGGTCAGTGACCATAGAAATCTATCTGTTTATTAAAAACAAACAAACAAAAAAACCCACACAACAACAAAACAAAAAGAAAACCCCGGTATACACTGCTTTTCCAGGCTTTAATTTAGTTCTGTGTTTGGTTGGTATTACAGTAATTTCATCTCTTACTCTGTTTTTAGGTTGCCTGAAGCTCAGCAGAGGGTTGGAGGATGTTTTCTAAATTTGATGCCACAAATGAAAAGCTTATACCTTGCATACTGTGCCAACCATCCATCAGCAGTAAATGTTCTCACAGAACACAGGTACGTTTACTTTGTGGTCTTTTAAGTCCGATACAAAAAAAGTGCATAAAATACACTTGTGTTGTAAAGCTGTGATGTCTCCTTTGACACCACATTTGGTATGATAGAGCTTGTTTAAGGAAAAAAAAAAAGTAGTAGTATGTATTTTTTAAAAGGACAAAAAAACCTCACAACACAAAGCTGTGCCACGTGATCAGGACCAGCTTATCACTTTTGGCAGTGTGTTATGAAGTATTTGAGAGCATTTTCTCATTTAAAGAACGCATGCTGGACTCTGAGTATGTAAAACAATGTGTATTGATTGTCACCTTTGTTTAAAAAAAATGTCGAGAGCAAAACAAATTTGTGGAATCATGGCATAATTGACATGATTACTAGTAGACAGTTGGTGAATTGTAACTTAGCCCTATAGAAGCCTGTACATTTGTATGTACTTAATTTTATAATGGTATACCCTTAGCTTTACTTTTAAGTGATATGAAAGGTGTGTGAGCTTTTCAAGTTTATGAGATTAGTATTTTCTGTGTGTAAGAAGTAGGATGCTGAGTTAACTTGATGGAGGTTGCTCAGCTTTGGGACTGACCTTAAATTTGCATAGAAGATGCCCTGTATCACTTTGAGGGAAGAGAGTTGAGGCCAGAACTTGTTTAAAGAAGTCTGCTTTCACAAACTTGTCCTGTGTATTCTCCTCATGGGCACGTGCTGCAGCAGCTGTTAGTTTGGGACTATTTATGTTTGCTTGTGGTGCAGGACAGAACCATGACCTTCTCTTGAAATTGCTATACATAGAACAAATTCTAGCAAGATATCTGTTCTTTTTGCCTTCCCCTCCTGCTTTTTTTGTCTTCTTGTGATGGACCAAAGTAAACATATTTTGAATACCTTAACTCTTCCTAAACAAAGAGGAGCATAATTGAGTTGTTTTCTATTGTGTTACCTTCTTCCAAGAACTTGCATTTTGTTTTAACAGCAACAATATGTGGCATTTATGAGTTTTACTCATAATAGTATAAATAAAAACCTGCTAGCTACCAAGTACTATGAACTATTACTTTTGTCAGACGTGCAACTATGTTTCAACCCCACTTTGAAAAATCAATCTGCAAATTCACATTGCAATTTAGGCAGAAAGGAGGTGTTTGGGTTTTTGTTTTTTTTTTGTCAGAAGCAATGACGAATTAAAATCAAACAAGACAAAATATGTTTAAAACCCCCTGATGAAACCCCTTAGTGTTTGTTTTCTTTCAAATGGCCTAGTTCTAGTAACACTTTCCGTAAATGGTAAAATATTTAGGTGATTCATGCCTATGGGGTTTTTAATACTTTTAGGCTTTTTAGATTTTGTGTGTGTTTGTGCCTTTATGCTCTTTCCATACAGAGGTCTGGGATTTAATGTATAGATGGACGATGGCAAGTGATAGCAAAGTGATCATCTACATTTCTTAAGATTTGGAGGTATTTGTAAAGGATTAGCATAACTTCTTTTTATCCTAACTCCTGGAAAACAGAGGGAATAGCCATGTCTGAGAAGCCATGACAGAAATGCTAGGAAGGCAAGCTACTTGTTCTGCAGATGGGGAAGAGCAGCATTTCTTCTCTTCTGTGTCGCTTTGGGCTTAGGTTGTCCTAAGAAAAATTCAACTTCTGGTCTGTAAAGTCAGCTTGATATCAAATCCTGGTGGAGTCAATATAAATATCGTAGAGCATCAAGTCATTTGGATGTGGAAGTAGGTTCAAAGCAATTGTATTGTTTGTAAGAGATCAAGGGGGGAGGTGAGTTGTGATAAACGGCTTTCTGTTTAATGCTATTGTGTTGCCAGGCATGAGTCAACAGAAGTGAATCCTGTTGGTTTGGTTTTTTTTAATTACTCCTATTTTATTATTCTAAGCCCTTCATTTTTGTTTAACACCGTTGCTGTAGGTAGCAAGTGGCTTGACTAAAAATTCTGCTTGAGACAGCTGCTATGAAGAAATTAGAAGGTGGCTTTAAGCAGTTCTGAACCTTTACCTTTCAGAATGCCAGAAAGCTTTTAATTACATTGCTTTAAAGGTAGGGGAAAAATGACTTTTCTGCCAAGAATAACACACTGATTGAAGGCATGAAGAAAAGGAAAATACTCGGAACTCTCTCCTTGTCTATTTAGTTGCGATATTTTTATTGTGTAAAAGCATCCCTAGTAAATCTTTAATGTAAAAATTACTGTGAGGTTTGAGGATAGTCATGATTGTAGTAATAATGAAACAACTACACTGCAGTGAATACTAGATTAATATTGAGCTGAAATTTTTCAGAGATGCAAAAGACTGAGGTTTAAGACTTTTAAGAAACAGTGATGATCAGTTGGCTGGTTTTGCAGTATAGTTTTAGCAGAGGGTCCAAAAACATTATATGCGGTTTAATACCAGCAAAAATATGGCAGAGAAATAGATGTTTGCTGAATTCTTGTATTTGAGTATCATGTTTGTAACAGCTGTGCTATTCGGTAGTGTTTTAGAGCAGAAAAAGGCACAGTCTGGAGCGGTTTGATTTGAAACAAATTCTTGCTGTCTACAGCAGATTACTTCTTACCATGAACTCTGTGCACTTCGTAAACTGAACACATATGCATTAACTGTGCTTCTGAAAGCCTTTCTACAAAAAAACCTTGCAGATAGTTTTAAGTCAGATTCTTATATCACAGAATTAATATTTTCTGCAGTTTATTAAGTTCACTTGCTTTTGGTGGGGACCATACCAACAAAAAAGAAACAAAAGAGTCTCCTAGAGAATGGCTCTAGGTGAAACTTCAGAAACTTTACCTCTATTTTGTTTTTTTTATTCTGTAAAATAGACTAGTTTTACTATTGTTTTTAGTCAGTGACAGTAAAAACACAACTTAAAGGAAATTGGCTATAATTTTGAAGCATTAACTGTATTGTTTCTTTAACCAGTTGGATCACTGTGACATCAAAATTGTAAGCAGTCATCTGATTTAATGGGATATTACACATATGAGGTTTTTATATGTAATTTTCTGAAGTATCAAGCATGCTCTTTGAGCAGTGTTGTAATACCTGTTAAAATGTCATTGACGCCTCATAAAGACTCTGTGTCTACATATAGATAGATAAAACTTGATGATATTAACTTAGAATTATTTTGGACTTCTAGTCAAAAGCTTCTTTTTTGAATAGCATTTTTGTGAAGTTGATTCTAAATAGCAGTACTTGGGATGGGGCTGGAGATTTAAAAGGGGCATTCAATTGGAATGTGACTGGGGTTTTTTTAAATGCCATTCAGTATGAATGCCAGCCTGTGTTTCCTCTTTCTCTGTCATTTGCTTCTTGATCATATGTAGCAGCAACATGGGGACTATTATTCAATTAGTACAAAATAAGGGGGTGTGTGCATATCTATGTTCACATATGTGCGTGTTTATATAAATACGCAGTTGGGGGTCAAGAAGGTTAATTATATTACTTAATGAATAAGAGATTTTTCATGTTCACATCTTCAAAGCCACAAACATCTTTCATTTCCTTAAATTAATTATTAATAGTCGAACTATTGAAATGAATATCATTAGAGACCTGAGCATATGTGAATATGCAGAAATGGGAATAAAACCTAATACAGCCCATACAGGAGTTCAGGTTCCAGAGCTGCATTTTTCTGAGGTTGCATTTGCCTCTGATACTCACAACAACAAAAAAAATCTTTCTATTAAGTTTGGGAAACAGATTCTCTTCTTGGTACCAGTTGTGGCACTGTAAGTTTTATCCAGGTGTTAGAGTTGGTACTCAACAAAATTTCTCCGATTTCATACAGTCCTGAAATTTGGTAGGTACTTTTTGTCTTGGGAATTGTTTCAAGGCCATTGCATGTTTTTTGCAGAATTAAAATTCTTTGTGTAATGAATCAAGAATTTCTAAGAATTAAGTCATTTTTCCTTAGGTCTGTCATTGTGTCTTGTAATTATGTCTTATGCCACTGGCTGGAGCTGAAGAGGTGGAGCTCATCAGGTGCAGCTGACTGGTGGCTCTGCAGAGATCAGTGTTTTGCATATTTGCACCACTGCCTCTTAGCTTGTTCTCCTTGTTCCCTTCTCTCATAGTAGCTATAGTGCCACTGTACGTGATCCCTGTTTTACTTACTTTATTCCTACATACAGTTGTACCTCTCTGGCTGCATTGTATGAGGTTTTAGTTTCTAACATACCTTAGCTTTTCTTGAGAATCCCAGTTCAAGTCCAAGGGTAGGTGTTATTTTTGGAGAGAATTTTGCTAGCTGGTGAGAGCAGAGCTGCCTCGAGGGCGTAGCGTTTAGTCAAAGTAGCATTGATTGCTGCGTGTGCTTCTCATCATAGACATATGCTTGCCTTCCAGTAAGAGAAGAAACAGGATGAGCAACCTAAGGCATGAAAGAATGAATTTCCCTCAAATAAATTAAAAAAAAAAAAAAAAAAGAAAAAAAAAAAACAACCCAAACAGCTGGATACAAAGTACAGAAATGGATAATTCCAGTGGGGTAAGGAGTCCCAGGAACATGAGATATTACCTACCTGGGGAAGATCACAAGCCACAAAGCTCAGTGCAAGGGGAAACTCCAGCAAAGAAAAAGAGGAGCAGAAGCTAGGACTGGGACTTTGTGGACTGTATCCAAAATGACAAAAGGGAAGATATTTGAGTATAGAACTCAGTGAAGGGTGGATAACATAATGGGAAAAAAGTCTAACAGGCCCCACTGATCAGTGGACATAAAACTCTTCTGAAGAAATACAGAGAGACTCAATGTGATCAGCATTAAGTATGTCATTATTGGAAGAGGGGGAGGTTTTAAAGCTTTTTTACTTTATTTAAACAACACCATGTTTATTTTAAAACAAAATGGAAGAATAATGTTACCAAAAGAAAATTTAATTTGCTGAAAAGGCAGCCAAAAATTGGTAATATATGCCCGCTTTTTGTTAATTTTGCAAAGTGGCAAGTGTTGAGCTGGTTCTCAGCTGGAACAAAGCTAT